AAATAAACAGCCTGCTTTTTGGGGGGTTATCTAACTTTAATTCATTGTTTTATATACAATTATTAGTGATGCTTACCAGCTATTTAATTTATTTGCCTCCTCTTCTGTATTGAATTTTTTTTTTTTTTGAGATGGAGTCGTCCTCTGTCACCAGGCTGGAGTGCAATGGCACAATCTCGGCTCACTGCAACCTCCACCTCCTGGGTTTAAGCGATTCTTCTGCCTCAGCCTCCCAAGTAGCTGGGACTACAGGTGTGCACCACCACGCCCAGCTAAGTTTTCTATTATTTTTAGTAGAGATGGGGTTTTACCATGTTAGGATGGTCTCGATCTCTTGACCTCATGATCTGCCCACCTTGGACTCCCAAAGTGCTGGGCTGTGCCCCGCCGATATTGACATTTTTAAACGGGATAAGTACCACAGATTGTGAGTCTGTCATATTTTTGTTCCCAAAATGCATTCCTTTATTTTCCCTGTAAGGCAGTTGTCATTTATCAATCCTAAGAACTTGATAGTCAAATAATTTTTCTTACTAATCCCCAAGGCTTCCATGAGCATATTTCTGGTGCTGACAGCCAAGGAAATAATTTGGGGGTCTTTCTCCATAGCTAGAAGATTCCTTGGTGTTTTGGTTATGTACACAAATTCACTGGTAACTTTGTGTTCTCATAAAATAATAGTTCACTCCTATCCCTGACAGTGTTTGTTGTGCTTTCTTTTCCTCAAACGTACTGATTCCATCTTGAACAACTTCATCGGTGTGTCCTTTTGACTTCACGTATTATAAAAAGTATAAGAAAAGCCAGGGTTAGGACACCAGCTCTCACACCTTCATGTTCAGGCTTATCTCTAAGTAGTTGTTTTCTATTGTCTACTACTGATGGTGTGAGGGTGAGTGTGGCATGGGTGAGCTGCAGCTTCCTTTGCTAAGGAAGCAGACATCTTTGCCTTTCTGTTGGCCAGGAGCCTCCGGCTGGAGCTCAGACACCTCAGTTTCTCTGAATGGACATGAAGCTGTTCAATAGGAGACCATTTATTATCTTTATAGAATGTAATAATTATAGTTACTGAATGTTCCAACTGGATTTTAATGTTCCTAGACTAGCTTAGTGTTAACGCTACTTCAAAACAATCACTTAATTGTTTTCGGCAACTGTTTGCACATTCTGTTTTCTAAGGGTAGATATTTATTTGCCATTTTTAAACTTTTGTCTATTATAAAGAAAGGTACTTTTGAACAATTTCCACAAACGTACTGACTTCGAAATGCCGAACCCTAACTTAGAGATGGAGAAAGCCAAAAAACAAAGCAATTTGCTCTGCGGAATTTCTTGAAGAGTTAGGAATTTGTGGGAACAGTGAAGGTGAATGTAGCGCCAAAAACAGGAAGGCTTGCTGAAAGTCTAAGAACACAGTCGACCCCCTCAATGCCATTTCCTATTCCCCACAGCCATGTGAATATCCTTTATTTACCCTACAGGTCACCAGGGACAGTTGAGGGTGAAAAATAGGGGGTGAAATGAATGATTAACTACCGGATCCTGAAATTCCCTCTTAAAGCTGTTTCCTATCTGGACTCCCAGAACTGTGGCCAGCTGGACTTTATACCTTTCTAGAGGGAGAATGGAAGATTCTGATTAACCAGTCAATTAAAATAGTGACATTAGGGTTTTGCCAAGAAACACCCCAGCCTGACTCCCCTAGAGTAAGCAGAGAGCCAAGGACATCAGTTCTAATCTAAAGGAAGACCTGTACTATAAAAGACAGATACTAAAAAAGCAGAACACAAGCATAGAGACTATACTGGGGGAGAAAAATGTCAAAAAAATGTTATTACTAATGTCTCCAGAATGACATCAAATCATGAAACAGAAACAGAATGATACAAAAAAAAAGAATGAGAAGGACTTTTGGCAATCAAAACTCTTTTAGCAGAAATGAACAGTTCAGTAGAGAATTTGGAAAGTAACGTTGAGAAAATTTACTAGAGTCTCCTGAAACCTTACAAGTTTGCATAGCAATTATATGGTTTGGCTCTGTGTCCGCAACTAAATCTCATGTCAAATTGTAGTCCCACGTCCCAAGGGAGGGAGGTGATTGGATCATGTGGGCGGTTCCCCCATGCGGTTCTCATGATAGTGAGTTCTCATGAGATCTGATGGTTTTCCCTGTTTGGCAGTTCCTCCTTCACAGCACTTCTCTCCCTGCCACCCTGTGAAGTAAGTGCTTTCTTCCCCTTTGGCTTTTGTCATGATTGTAAGTTTCCTGAGGCCTCCCCAGCCATGTGGAACTGTGAGTCCATTAACTCTCTTTCCTTCAGAAATTACCCAGTCTTGAGTATTTCTTTATAGAAGGGTGAAAGAAGACTAATACAGCAAGACAAAAAGGTAAAAGTAGAAGGAAAAAGCTAAGAAAATTAGAGAGGATGCATACAAATGGTTCAACATCTAAATAATAGAAATTTCAGAATAAGAAAACAGATAATGAAACTAATAAGTCATCAAATAATTCAAGAAAATTTCTCATAATTGAAGGCACGCATTGCTGGATAAAAAGGGCTTACACAATAGATGAAAATAGACACAAATAGGTAGCCTAGAATATACCTAGAATGCTACACTCAGATAAATTATCAATTAGATATGAGAGTATAATAAAGATACTATCAAATATACCCAGTCTCAAAAAATCCAGCTCTTATCACTCGTTCTTAGGAAGCAACTGGACGAAGGGAACCACAAAAATGAGGAAGAAAAACCACAGAAATAGGGATCCAACTCAAGAGAGAAAAAAGAGAAATCCCCAGGATGATTAAGAAGAGACTCCAGGAAGACAGCTGTGCACCTGGCAAAGAGAGCTACCGACTTAAATTAGAGGAGGGCAGAAGACTCCAGGAAAGATGGCTACAAAACCAATCACACTGGCTGTGTGTGGTGGCTCACACCTGTAATCTCCACACTTCAGGAGGATCACAAGGTCAGGGATTCGAGACCAGCCTGGCCAACATGGTGAAACCCCATCTCTACTAAAAATACAAAAATTAGCCAGGCATGATAGTGTGTGCCTGTAGTCCCAGACACTTGGGAAGCTGAGACAGGAGAATTGCTTGAACTGGGGAGGCAGAGGTTGCCCTGAGTTGAGATCACGCCATTGCACTCCAGCCTGGGTGACAGAGCAAGACTCAATCTCAGAAAAAAAAAAAGATGACATTGATAGCACCCATGATATATTTCAAAACACCAGGAGGACAGTTAGATGGAGCATGCTGGGGGATGAATTAATGACGAATACTTAGAAAACTAAAATCTTAAAGAGAAAGACAATTATTAATTATAAGGAGAAAATAATTTGTGCAAGAAAGGAAAAAGTACTCCTGGCATACTACCTGGCTAAGCTTGGTAATCTAAGCACTGAATAGTGATTCAATCAATATATAGTTATATTGAGAGGATGGGAGGTGCACCAGGGAATCATATGAACTTGTAGTAGGGACTGAAGAAGGGTAACAGAATATATATCTTCATCTTCCATAGTGGTACAGCAATGAATAATGAATAATGTTTACAACTGAGAAAATCAAGAAATCACACAGATGTATATTTTAGAAATAAGAAGAAAACTAGCCACAGGTAAAAAGAAAATGTTTTGCCTTTGGGAAATCCAAATTTGATGGTTTTTCATAACAAGTATTCTAGCACTATTTGACCCTTTAAACTAGGTATATGTAACTTCGATAAAGAATAAGAGCTAAATTTTAAAAAACATCATGTCTTTTCACCAAATCCTTACCTTTTTGGTATTTTGGCTTCCAGGTATACTGGATTTGAGTAACCTATGAATTTAAACTCTGTACAAATAAAAAATTGCCTTGACTTTCTAAAAGTTCTGCTGCATAGTATTAAATAATCTATGTACTATGGACACAAAGGGTTAAATAGCTAATTCTTCAGTTAATAATGAGTATCTACTTAAGGACAATATTAAAGTGCTGTTTTTATTTCAGTATCTGTCCTGAGTATAGAAGCCAGTATCTAAATATAAATATATAAATGTGTCTGTGTTTTGTGTATAAGGTTATGTTTAATTTGAGATTTTGAGGTGGAGAAGCAATTTTCCTTTCTCGCTTCCATTTTCTTTTCTCTGTCAACTGATCCATTCTTCTTTTAACTATGTATGAAAGGGCCATCGGGCCAGGAAACCGCACAGCTTCAAGGGGGCATGATTACATTAGACACATGTTAATGGCACCTCTTGTGGGGCACAAAGCCAAGAACAAACAGTAGGTATGAAAAGGGAGAAACTTTTTACCTCTCGAAGCGGAAGTGTGAGGGTAGAAAGAACAGCCATGTGGGCCTGGCGTGGTGGCTTACACCTATAATCCCAGCACTTTGGGAAGTCGAAGTGGGTGGACCATGAGGTCAGGAGTTCGAGTCCAGCCTGGCCAACATGGTGATACTCTGTCTCTACTAAAAATACAAAAAATTAGCTGGGTGTGGTGGTGGGTGCCTGTCGTCTCAGCTACTTGGGAGGCTGAGGCAGGAGAATTGCTTGAACCTGGGAGGTGGAGGTTCCAGTGAGCCAAAATCACACCACTGCACTTCAGCCTGGGTGACAGAGCAAGACTCCATCTCAAAAAAAGAAAAGAAAAGAAAAAAGAAAGAACAGCCATGTGAAGTAGAAATTCTACAATGGAGAGCTCAAATATAACTTCACTGCACTCATTTGAAACCCTAGACCTAATAGGTTTGTGCTCCAGTGAATGCTTTCAGGTGGTTAGAGGTTTTGTAGACTTACATCTCAGCAGATGTTAACAGAGAGAGTAAAAGAAAAGAAAGAAAGAACAGCAGGAAGACATGGACCCTCTCTGCAAAAGATATGATTGAATTCTAAGAAGTGGAATTAAATGTTTTAGTTATTTCAACTTGCTAATCTCTGCTTCCTCTCTCTCCTGTCCACCTCCCTTCCCCTTTCTCCTGGAATCCAGCCCTGGCAACTCAGATAGTGATGAGGTCATGGGCTCCAAAATATGGCCATGGTATGAAGGTGGCAGCACAAATTTTTAAACAACATTTCAGCACCACACCACATTGCTGAGAAGGAAGCCTGTGTAATGTGAGTAACTACAGCTCATGCTATTTTATTAATCCTGGGTGATGATCCCTGGGGGTTGCATTACTCATGTTTGTGTCTGTCTGTGTATGTGTGTCTGTGGGTGTCTTCTGCTGTTTCCTATTTTATATGACAGTCATCAAGAATTCTTCCTCAGCTTGGACATATCAAAGGGAGAGGAGGCTCTCACCTATCATTAGCAAAGTCTTTGACATTAAAAGCAATGAAAAGGTAAAGGAGAATGACCCTCTCTGACACAGGAAAATGAAGGACAGGTTATCTCAGTCGGTTGCAAGTGCTCTTTTTCCTTCACAAGGAAACAATGCCTCACATCTCACATCCCCTACCTGTGTCAGAGCTTGCTTTTTATTACCTCCTTAAGTCAGCAAACCTTACTACCTGGTGGACATGATTGATGGGGTGATAACAGGAAGGCCCTCTTGCTCGTGTTGCAGCAGAGAGAGCGGCTCACATTGAGCCATGATCATGTCACACACTCCAGCCTGGGTGACAGAGTGAGACTCTGATTTGCTTATTAAAGAAGCCTTGCTTTTCTCTCAGACAAACTGTGGTCAGGAGTTCCTTTCTGTTTAAAAGACCACTCCCTAAAGCTCCTTTAACTTTTCCTTTGCCAGTTTCTTCAGAGGATATATGACTTCTTGGGCAAAAACATGATGGTATTGAACATCTCTACTTCAAAACCTTTAAAAAGTACCAGGCAATGCAAAACCCTGAAGATAGTAGTGGATTAGAAGGAAACTAGAATCTACCCTATGTGCCTCAGAATGTTTTTCTGTCTTCAAAGTTGATTTATCCTTCAAAGCCCAGATCAATAAAGCCCTTTGCCTGATTATCCTCCTGTACTCTTCAGGAAGAGGTATTATTACTCTATGAACTCAGTAAAAATTACTTTGTAGTCCTGGCAACACAGCAAGACCCTATCCCTACATAAATAAATAAATACATAGATACATCCATACAAACTAGCTGGGTGTGGTGGTATGCACCTGTATCTCTCTTTTGGTACTTTCCATTATAATTATTAGATAATGTATTATCTCTACTATCTTTATGAAAGCAGAAACCTTATTTTAATCTTATTATCCAGGCTGGGCACCATGGCTCACTCCCAGCACTTTGGGAGGCTGAAGCGGGAGGATCATTTGAACCCAGGAGCTTGACACCAGCCTGGACAATATGATGAAACCCCGTCTCTACAAAAAATACAAAAAACATTAGCTGAGCAAAGTGGCATGTGCCGGTAGTCTGAGCTACTTGGAAGGCTGAGGTGGGAAGATCACTTGATCCTGAGAGGTCGAGACTGTGGTGAGCCATGATGGTGCCACTGCACTCCAGCCTGGAGTGACAGAATGAGACCCTGTCTCAGAAAAAAAAATCTTATCCATCATGGTAAATTAGTAATAATAATAACAGCTAAACATTTCACTTTACATACATTGTCTCTAATTTTCATAATAACACTGAGAGATAAAGGATGTTAAATCCATTTTCCAGAAGACAAAACTAAATCTTTGAGATGTCACATGTCTTGCCTAGGATCACATGGTCAACATGTGGCCAGCTCTGCTGATGTTTTAAGGACAATCTGTGCTCTGCACATTCTAGTACAAGTCAGAAAGAAACAAAACAGAGTAAGCGAGAGAGGGAGGGAGGGAGGGGGGAGGAGGAATGGAGAGGAAGAAAACATAACCTCAAACTTTGATCCATTTGTTAGAATAATACTTCACAGACTCACAAAGTTGTAGAGTTGTGAAAGATTGAAATCATTAACACACCTACCCTCTATTTTTCATAGAAAGAACAACTGAGGCCCAGAGAGGTTAAGATCCCTGTTGAAGGTTGAACAGCTACTGACACAGCTGAAACTAGCACAGACCTCCATGATCTTGAGCCACACTCTAAGGTGCCTTTCTCTGTGAGATGTAAATTTTGAACCAGGGACTAAGACATTAAAAATACCCATTTAAAACAGGATAGCAACTAATAGTCATATAAACTTGTTTGTTTAAACTCTGGTTTATTGAGGTTCTCTGGCTCCTAAGAAGCAAGAACTACAATTTTTAAAAGTTTTAATGATGAATTTTCTCATCACCAGACACATAGAAAATATCTAAAATATACAAGATAATATAATTATCTTTTGTTTGTTCAACCGAAAGGAAACTTTGCCCTTAAAATATGTTTCACTGCTTGGCAGTCCTAGCAATACAAATAATGCTTTATCCTTAAGCATTCTCTTAAATTAACACTTTCAAACAGCAAAAAGGCAGCAAAATTTAGAATATGACCAAGCCAGGGAGGTGTGCATATTAAAAATATATTTACATAGTTTAAGGCCTTATAATTTTCCTCAAATAACTGATACACACTTTTTGAAAAATGTGATTATCAAGCAGTGCACTTACCAAGTCCTAGTCTCAGATCCTTACCACCCCCATCAGAATCCTAACACTGTCTCCTCCAGGAAGCCCCCTCTCTTTCCTCCTCAATTCCCCCAAAGCTATTGTACTGTCAGGAGTCAGGGACATCTAAGATCTTGGAAATAAGGGAACGGAGCTTGCCTTGGAGGGTTAACTCTAAGTCAACAGGTTGTCTATGAGAACAGATATGTTTCAAGTTGCCTCATAAATGGACTGAGCACAGAACAGAGCGGTCTAATGGGAGAGATTCACATATCTAAGGAAAGAATGTGTCTTTCTGAATGGGTTGTCCAGAAATAGAAATTAGAAGAGAGTCATAGACAAACAATGGCCATAAAAGTACTGCTCGGAGAAGAAGGCAGCCAGACCAAAGACTTGCTCTGCCTGATGCAAGTAACAGGTGCATTCGACTGCAGAGGTGAGCGGAGCAGACTTTCAACTCACAGACTTTGTCCACACTCACAAATCTAGCTTTACATAATAAACTTGGTTCCTACAGAAAACTATCACACTGACCAGAATATGCAGGTATTCAGTCTTATTATCAGTATGTGTTTTCCCTCTACTTGAAGCAAGAAACCATAATTCTAGTTTAGCCTCAGTGTTCTGTGTCTTCAGGTAGCATGAGTATAGTATCCCTAGATGCTGTTTGAACAATGACAAGAATGGTTTAGATTCTGCCTATCTGAGAGTCAGCCCTGGACCATGCTGCACTGACTAAGGTAAGGCCATCTTGAGATCCTTATATCAGCCAGTCGATGTTTCCCTACCTCATTACATCTTCTTTTAAATTTTAGTCAAAATTAACTTCTTCTCTGCCTGAAAATAAATATTTATTGATTGCTCTGTCTTACGATATATCTTATATCTTGCATTATATTTATTTTTATTGTACAAAAGTATATTTCTCTCCTTGAGAGCAGGTATTGTTTTATTTTGTTTATTCAATCACTGGTTTTTTATCAATAGGGAAATGAATAAAATACAATTATATCCTCCATATACTCAGGTTAGCAGGGGTGGCAGACAGAAAAATAAGTTATACATCTGACAAAGGTAATAAAAGTATGTATAAAGAACACAAACATTGCAAAACAGTCGGGGGACCGACCATATTGGGAAACCTTTCTAGAGGAGGCGATATCTGAGCTAGATTTTGGAAGATGAATAAAACATCAGTCACTGCAACCAGAAAAGGGAGGAGCATTCGAAACAAAGGCAGTAACAAGTGCAAAGGCAAAAGTGTGAAATGACCTGGGAACCAAAGCACAGCTTAGTGTTTCCAAGATGTGAAGTGCAAGGACGAGAGTCATGAGCAATATGAAGCTGGATAGTTAGAGAGAGAATGAAAATTTGTGTATGGCCCATAATGCAGTTCAGACTTTCTATAGTAGGTGATAGGAGCTAGCAAAGGCTTTTCAGTAGAAAAGAGGCTGGATTGGATTGAGTTTAGCAAGACATCTTTGGCACCAATGTGGACAAAGAAATGAAAAGAGGCAAGCCAGAAAAAAAGCAAAATTAGATGATTGATAGATAGAATAGATAAGTAGATACATAGACAGATAGATCAAGAATGAAAGACAGCATTTGGAAAAGTCCAGACCTAGCACTATCCAACAGAAATATGAGATGGACCTCAAATGTAAGCCACGTGTTCAATTTTAAACTTTCCTGTAGTCATCTGTCCCAGGTGACATATGTTGTTGGTTATTAAGGGGCAGAGCTAAGATTTAAACCTAAGTATAATTTAAACCTAATTACCAAGGCTTATAATTTGACTCTGAAGCTTACAAAACACATCATACTGCCACTCTGAAAGCAAAGCCTGTGGAATCAGACAATCTGAGTTCAAATAACTCCTTCTTCACTTACTAATTATGTGACTTGGAGCAAGTTATTTAGTTAAAAAACTTTGGTTTTCTCATTTGCAAAATTGGAAATAACATGCCTATCTTAGGGGATTTTTGAGAGGAATAACTGACATAATATATATAAATTGCCAATCAGAGTGATAGGTATACCATAAATAGTACATAATAGTTGCTATTATCACATATATTGGGCTTGGAGCTCAATATATATCCAAGTTGGAATATGTATTTCCCATATCAAATATCCAACATAGTATCTGGTCTGGCTCTGTTTTCTTTTTTTTTTTCAAGAAATGACTTTGATTCATCACAAAGGCATATGTTTAAGGAACTTTGCAAATGGAGATACAGGCTATAATCATCCTAAGTCAATACTGCAAATAATTATGGGTATTAGATCATGAGACAGCATTGTTGGGTGTTCATGTCACTAAGATACTATAGAGAATTGCACTGGAAGTAAAACATATGTACCTTGCTCTTACATTCAAGGAGTCTGAAAGAATGAACTGAATTAATTATGAGAGCATGTTTGCTTGTATGTCTTTTCATTAGTTTGTGATTTAAAAAAGAGCAAATAAAAATTATTCATCAGACAAGGATCTAAGGTTATTTGCCTAAAATCCAAAAAACTTTAATCAGGGGGTCTAGGTACACCTTATCTCCTATTCAGATAACCTAATTCTTGCAT